CTTTATTCAGAAACAAACTGACATCCCGGCTGGTGGCTGGTGAGCCTGTCCTCCCGGGACGGACGCCAGGGCCGCAGGTTCGATCCCCAGTGGGGCCGTACCAGCATCCGCCCGTGAATGCATCCATAGTGGAACAACAAACTCCTCTCTCTCTCTCTCTCTCTCTCTCTCTCTCTCTCTCTCGGATCAATAAATAAATTTAAAAACAAAAACAGGGACTGGGCCCAGGAGGAGGGCTCCCCAGCTGCCTCCCCGGCCGACGGGTGCAGTCAAGGATCCCGGCTCAATTCCGTTCCCAGGGGAACCGTGAGGGGCTCTCCAAACCCGAGGAGCGCGGCTCAGTCACTGCTCGGTCACTGCGCGGGGCACGCTGGTCCCAAAGCCACTCCCTCTCCCCGAAACTCCAGTCGGACTGGGCGGCCTTTTGCTGCTGTTTCTTCCCCGTCGTGTGTATCTGCCTGTTTCCCCTCCATCCAGGCAGCCCTACCCTCAGGCCCAGGCGGCTATTCAGTGGGTGCCCAGTCCTCTTGGCCAGCCCCGCAGGCTCACGCGGCCCGTGGCTGCAGGATCCCCTCAGGGGCCGTGGAAACAGGACTCCGGCCCCGCCCAGCGTCCACCGGCCGGTGAGGGAGGGGCTGCTGTGGCTGCAAACGCCTGGAAGAGGCTCCTGCACCAGAGCTGCTTTCCTCTCTCTCCTCGGCCCGCGGACATTTTCCCATGTTTTTGTTTTAATATTAAAAGAAATATTTTCTACTGATTTCAGAGAGAAGCGGGGGGGAGAGACAGAAACATCAGCGACGAGAGAGAATCCTGGGTCAGCTGCCCCCTGCACGCCCCTGACCGGGGATCAGACCGTGACCTGGTTCATAGGGCGACGCTCACCCACTGAGCAGCCCGCGGGGCCATTTTTTTTAAGAGAGAGCGGGAAGGAGGGGGAGAGGGGGCGCGAGAAACACCGATGTCAGAGAGACACGTCGATTGGCTGCCTCCTGCAACCAGGGCCGGCTATCCAACCTGCAGCCCGGGTATGTGTCCTGGACCGGGAATCAAACCCTTAGGTCCGTGGCCGGCAAACCGCGGCTTGTGAGTCACATGCGGCTCTTTGGCCCCTTGAGTGTGGCTCTTCCACAAAATACCAACTTCTGCGCATGGGCCACGAAGTTTCGATCGCACTGTGCGTGCGCGCCCACACGTGGTATTTTGTGGAAGAGCCACACTCAAGGGGCCGCAGCTTGCCGACCACTGGGTGAGCGATGTGCTATGGTCACTCACCTGGCCAGGGATGGGGCAGAGAGCTCCGGGCTCCCAGTCAGATGGGGATTCGTGGGGCCTCAGGAAGGGCTGTTATGCGGAGATTGGTGGGGCTATTCTGAAGGGGCTACCTGTTGGCACATAGAAACGGGAGAGCAATTCTCTGATCAGGAGAGAGAAGCAATAGCTCCTGCTCGGGACCTGTGCTGTGTGGATTGGAGGAGAGGAGATCGAACCCATGACCTTTTAGGTGCATGGATGACGCTCTAACCAATGAGCAACACCGGCCAGGGAGAGGCTGTCGCACCCGAGCTTTGAGAGGCTGCTGTCCCACACCTGGATCCTGCCTTCGCCAACACAGCCTTGTCGATAAGACACCAGCCCACAGAGCAGGAGGCGCCCCGGGTGGGGATGGGAGGGCGGGGGGCAGGAAGGGATGCTGCCATTCGCCGGGAACCTCAGAAGGGCGGGCTGTGTGCCCAGAGCAGAACAGACAAACGGGGTCTCTCGGTACCTCGACCCTCCAGGGGGATCCGGGCCGAAGAAGCCGACCAAGCCCGCCCGTGTCCGGGGTTCTACTCGCTACGGGCGGGGTGGGGCGGGTGGGCGTACCTGTACCCACCTACAGCCTGGCCTCCTGCAGCACCGTGCCCTTGGGAGCTGCCGCCATCAGGGACTCGGAGTAGGCCTGCATGGCCTCCTTGTCCCGCGAGCCCTTTTTATCGCGGCTCCAGAACAGGTAGCACCGCTCCTGGAAGAAACCAGCGCGGTTACGGGCGGCGGGAGGCCGTGCGGGAGCGGGTTACGCCACTGGTTCCCGGAGGTCCCGGAGGCCCGGGGGAGGGTGCGGGGTTCTAGAGTCCGACACCCGAGCAAGGGGGGCTGGCCGAGATGTGGGGAGTCGAGCTGCCCTTCCCCAGGGACAGGAGAACCCGTGTCTTTGGGAGACACATCTTGGTGCCTGGGACAGGCCGTGCTGAAAAGCCTGTGTCCACTTGAGAATTTAGGAACTGAGGTGCGAGGGATGGGCCGGGAATCGGCGGGTCGAGCAGGTGGCATTTTAAATCAACCAGAAACAGAGATTTTTCTGCTAAAAGACTTGTGATTTGTCCGGGTGGCGTGGCTCAGTTGGTTGAGCGTCGACCCATGCACCAGGAGGTCACAGGTTCGATTCCCGGTCAGGGCGCATGCCCGACTTCCCGGCTCACGCACCAGTAAGGGGGTGTGCAGATGGATGTTTCTATCTCTCTATCCCTCTCCCTTCCCCTCTCTTTAAAATCGATAAAAACATTTTTTTTTTAAACAGCAAAGAGGCAGAGAGACATAGAAACACTGGCTGCCTCCTGCATGCCCCCCCAACTGGGGCCAGAGCTTACAACCCAGGCATGTGCCCTGACCGGCAACCGGGCCGGTGCCCTCCTGGTGCATGGGACAGCGCTCAACCACTGAGCCACCCTGGCCGGGCATGACCCTTCTCTTTCTATTAATCAGGACAAGCACAGCAACATTTCAGGCTAAGCCGAGACCTACATCACGGGAGAAACTTCCACCCAGGGGCGTCCCGTGAGCCCATGGGAATGATGGAAGCAACCGGCCTTCCCACTGGGTTTGGGGGCCGGACTCGGAGCTGGGGGGTGAGGCAGGGGAGGGGCCCAAGCCAGCCTGTCCCGTGGGTCCTCGCTCTTCTCCTGGGCCCCCTTCGGATGGACGATGAGGAGAGACAGAGGGGACAGGAGCCCAGCCCCTCCTCGGCTGCCCGCCCTGGGAACCCCCACATGGGGG